ATTCTATGTGCTGGAGATAAAGGAATGAACAGGATCATCAGCTCCCTTCTTTATGGGTGTGTGAGGTGATGGGATAGTCAGTAGACGAATGAATGAACAAAAGTCTCAGAGAGCAATAAGCGCTCTGTTTTATAGAAAAATAAAATCAGGTGATGTGAACTAATAGCAAATTGGCCACTGTAGGTGGTTAGGTCAGGTCTCTTAGATGAGATAAACTTTAAGCCAAGATCTAAATGACTAGATCCCCAGAAGAGGGAAAAGCTAAAGCAAAGGCCCTAAGGTCAGAGCAAGTGTGATGCGGCAAAGGGGCAGTGCGACTAGATGTACGAGGGCCAGGAGAAGAGTAATATGAAGAGAGACCCTGGGAGGAAGCAAGAGCAGCTCAGAGGGTGTTGTGGACCAGTAAGTACTAGGAGTTTGGGTTTTATTCCAAGTGTGACAGTACATTAGTCAGAAGTAGGCTGGCTGCTATAACAAAAGAGTGGCTTAAACAAGGTGATGCTCAACAGAAAGGCTCAATCCATGTCAGTCCTTGTTAAGCGATGGCTGTCAGTCCTGAACTGGGTGGCATTTGCAGACTGACTCATTAAGTTCCTTGGACTGTGGATTTGACAACTTTGAAGAATCAGTATGATTTAGTGAGAGACGATGTCATTGTGATTACTGGATTGTGACATGTTTTGAAAACAAATTTACCTTGGCTTACCCTAGAGAGGCATGACAGCAGAGTGGCTAAGAGGCCGGGCTCTGGACTCACCATGCATTAATTTTATGACTGTGAGGCACTTCGATGATCTCCCTAAACACCACCTTCCATATCTGGAAAGATGAGTGCTGATAGCACGGATTTGCTGGTGGTTGTTGTAAGGATCATCTACCTAAAGTTAGTGTTACTTAGCTCAATGAGTGCCAATTGTTGTTACCAAAAAAAAACATCAAGGGGCCACTTTCTCATTTGCAATAGAGCCCATATGGAATGGAGAGGCTATCAGACTCAGTGAGTAGATATAAATGTACAGAGTCATCAAATAGAGCAGGTTACTCATGTTGTCTTAAATGTGGGTAATGGATCAAAATTATGATACAGGTAACAAATTAATTTTGCTGGATTCCTAAAATCTGGAAAATTACCATGGACATACATGTATACACAGAGGCTCTCTTTTTATGTTTGTATTTGTTGTCATATTTGGTCATTGGATGTTATATTAAATGGTATGTAAAAAAGGAGATGATGAAGAAAGGACTATCTGGGATGGATTGGAGGAAATAAAAATGGAGGGACTATCTCAGTGGGAAGGTGAAAACCCTAGGCACTTCCAGGCTGTCACCTCTCAATGCCGTCCCCACCTAGTGCCTTCTGTGAGAGCCTCCGTCACTGAGAGCCCAGTAGACAAAAAATATCAAAGTCAAAGTTTTCTCTTCTCAGTTATGTTATAAGATTGTTGAGCATTTCTGTGTCTATTTTCCTATTTTCTATGAAACAGTTTTATGAAGTATTTTCATTTTTAAGTTATGGGAACTAGCCACATTTCCTAGAATTTTTCAACTTCAACAGCAAAAAGCCAACCTTGGGCAGGTTCTAGAGAAAGAAAAATCCAGATGAGAGTGAGGTACTATTACAGGTGTGCTCTTAGTCCCTCCACTGTGTCCTGTGCCCCACCTGCATGGGTACACACACACACACGCAGCTTCTCAGAGCAAGGGGACCATGTGAGAAGCACAGAGGAGGCTCACTGCCAACATGCTCTCCCTGTGGGGTATGCCTTTGCTCCTCCTGCTTGTCTATGGGAGGGACCAGCCTGAGGGATATTGAGGGTCAACGTGCGATAGGCACCGCAAGTATACGCAGGAAAACCCCTCCCCCATCCACCCCGAAGTTGAAGAGTTTACTGATTTCTCACCACCTCCCCCACTGCCTTCTTTCTTGCGTGAATTACTTCGTAATGTCCCAGGAGTCTTTCTAGACTACCTTGTGCCCTTCCAGTCACTTCCAACCAACAAACAGAGGAATCTTTAAAATGTACATCAAACCTGCCACTCCTAGACTCTAAATCCTTCACGGGTTTCTTATTTCAGTCAGGAAGATCCTGAGTCCTTGTGAGATCTGGTATCTTCAATCCACTTCCTCAAGTCCAGTCTAGTCATACCTCATGTTTCCCGAGCATGCTACCATATCAGGTCTTTGAACTTGAACTTGATATTCTTTCTCTCTAGAATACCCCAGAAACAAGTGACTAGCTCCCTCACTCCCTTTAGATCTCTGCATGGAGAGACTTTTTGACCACAATGTCATTCCCCAGTCACTCTCTAGCCCCCTTATCTTAAAGTTATTCTTCTTTCTAGCCCTATTCACCACCTAACATGTAAATTTGTGATTTTGTTTATAGTCTCTCTTGCCTTACCCCTTATGAGAATTTGTGTGGCAACAAAAATTCTTTCTGTGCTACTCACTGCTATGACCTCAGCACCTAGGAAAGTTGCTGGCAGAGTAGGTACTTAATTCTCTTGAATAATGGATATTGTGAAAATCTTAGTTCTCCAACTGCCTCTGCGTCTAGGCAGCTTGAAGCCAGCCTTTCTCTCAAAGCCCTCAGAATTTGGCACCCTTGAGTTTCATTCCCTTGTCTGTACAATGCAGGTAACAGTGCTTCCCCCACAAAGTTCCGTGGTAAGTGAGTGAGATAGTACCTATCTTGGCACACAGAAAGTCTCTAAGAAATGGAAACTGGCTTATCATTATTGCTATTTTTGGGCAGTGTTCCAGATTGCTTACGCCACCAAGCTGAAGACATATGGAGGCAGAAGGATAGGGACCATTCTGTTTATTTCTATATTTTGGACATTCCATTTATATGGGTAAGTGTTGTTGAAAGTCAGATATTAGCTCAAGGGACTCTATATGTCCACAAATACAAAAGTTAACAACTCCATGATCTTAATTCAGGGACTCGCAGCATTCAGTGATAAATTACTTTCATTGAGAACTTATGTTCATGCAAAAACCTGAACATGGATATTTATAGCAGCTTTATTATCATTGCCAAAACTTGGAAGAAACCAAGTTATTCTAAAGTAGGTACATAGATAAATAAACGGTAGTATATCCAGACAATGGAGTATTATTAGGACTAAAAAGAAATGAGTTACCAAGTCGTAGAGAGACATGGAGTAATGTAAATATATATTATAAATGAAAGAAGCCAATCTGAAAAAGCTACATACTGTATGATTCCAACTATATGAACATTCTAGAAAAGACAAACCTGTGGAGACAATAAAAAGATCAGTAGTTGCCAAGGGTTGTGGTGGAAAAGGGTGATTCGGCATAGCACAAAGGATTCTTTCGGCATTAGGCTACCATAATGGTGGATACATATCATTATACATTTGTCCAAGCCCACAGGATGTACAACACCAAGAGTGAACCACAATGTAAACTATGGACTGCAAGTGAATATGATGTTAGTACAGGTCCGTCAGTGGAACAAATGTAATGCTCTGGTGGGGGAATTTTCTTAAAGCCTACAGGCTATTAAAAGGAGATGAGGGAGGGTTTTGAGTATGACCTGGTCATGAAATTCCTAAGTTAAACTGGGAGAGAGACACTTTTGTCAATTATTATATTTCTCCCTCCGAGAATTCTGACTGGCCTCAGTGATGCTGATATGACAAGGTAGCTGACCTGGAAATCTCTGGGCTCTAAGATTAAGTCAAAGACTCAATGTACAGGTTGGCCCTATTCCAAATTCTTGGTGAATACAGTTAGATATTGGCATTAAAAACAAAAATAAAGTCCCGTAGGATTTAACAAACCACATGACCACTAAACATTGTATGCTGTCTTTCTTTCTAGGATTTTGAACTCATCTTCATCATTCATATGCAGAAACCAGTGGTAAAATCCTTGGAATTACAATGAGACATATCAGAAGCATTCACATATTTTATAGTATTATTATGTCAGTGCATGGATGGGCCTCAAAACTGCCAGAAGAAAGGGAACTGACCACCAACTGCTCCAACTTGTCTCTACAACAGGTTCCCACAGACTTGATCACAACCACAACCACGCTGGATTTATCCTACAACCTCCTTTTTCAACTCCAGAGTTCAGATTTTCGTTCTGTCTCTAAACTGAAAGTTTTGATTCTGTGCCATAACAGAATTCAAGAACTGGATATCAAGATCTTTGAATTCAACAAGGACTTAAGATATTTAGATTTGTCTCACAACAGACTAAGGATTGTAACTTGGTATTCACTGGTAGGTCTCAGACATTTAGATCTTTCTTTCAATGACTTTGATACTTTGCCTATCTGTGAGGAGACTGGCAACATGTCACACCTGGAAATCCTAGGCCTGAGTGGGGCAAGAATACAAAAATCTGATTTCCAGAAAATTTCTCATTTGCATCTAAATACTTTCTTCTTAGGATTGAGAACTCTTTCCCATTATGAAGAAGGTAGTCTGCCCATCTTAAACACGACAAAGCTTCAAATTGTTTTACCAATGAACACAAATTTCTGGGTTCTTTTGTGTGATGGAATCAAGACTTCAAAAATATTAGAAATGACAAATATAGATGGCAAAAGCCAATTTGCAAGTTATGAAACTCAACAAAACCTTACTTTAGTGAATTCTAAGACATCTATGCTGTTACTTTCCTTTGCTCCTCCTGCTTGTCTATGGGAGGGACCAGCCTGAGGGATATTGAGGGTCAACGTGCGATAGGCACCGCAAGTATACGCAGGAAAACCCCTCCCCCATCCACCCCGAAGTTGAAGAGTTTACTGATTTCTCACCACCTCCCCCACTGCCTTCTTTCTTGCGTGATTTACTTCGTAATGTCCCAGGAGTCTTTCTAGACTACCTTGTGCCCTTCCAGTCACTTCCAACCAACAAACAGAGGAATCTTTAAAATGTACATCAAACCTGCCACTCCTAGACTCTAAATCCTTCACGGGTTTCTTATTTCAGTCAGGAAGATCCTGAGTCCTTGTGAGATCTGGTATCTTCAATCCACTTCCTCAAGTCCAGTCTAGTCATACCTCATGTTTCCCGAGCATGCTACCATATCAGGTCTTTGAACTTGAACTTGATATTCTTTCTCTCTAGAATACCCCAGAAACAAGTGACTAGCTCCCTCACTCCCTTTAGATCTCTGCATGGAGAGACTTTTTGACCACAATGTCATTCCCCAGTCACTCTCTAGCCCCCTTATCTTAAAGTTATTCTTCTTTCTAGCCCTATTCACCACCTAACATGTAAATTTGTGATTTTGTTTATAGTCTCTCTTGCCTTACCCCTTATGAGAATTTGTGTGGCAACAAAAATTCTTTCTGTGCTACTCACTGCTATGACTTCAGCACCTAGGAAAGTTGCTGGCAGAGTAGGTACTTAATTCTCTTGAATAATGGATATTGTGAAAATCTTAGTTCTCCAACTGCCTCTGCGTCTAGGCAGCTTGAAGCCAGCCTTTCTCTCAAAGCCCTCAGAATTTGGCACCCTTGAGTTTCATTCCCTTGTCTGTACAATGCAGGTAACAGTGCTTCCCCCACAAAGTTCCGTGGTAAGTGAGTGAGATAGTACCTATCTTGGCACACAGAAAGTCTCTAAGAAATGGAAACTGGCTTATCATTATTGCTATTTTTGGGCAGTGTTCCAGATTGCTTACGCCACCAAGCTGAAGACATATGGAGGCAGAAGGATAGGGACCATTCTGTTTATTTCTATATTTTGGACATTCCATTTATATGGGTAAGTGTTGTTGAAAGTCAGATATTAGCTCAAGGGACTCTATATGTCCACAAATACAAAAGTTAACAACTCCATGATCTTAATTCAGGGACTCGCAGCATTCAGTGATAAATTACTTTCATTGAGAACTTATGTTCATGCAAAAACCTGAACATGGATATTTATAGCAGCTTTATTATCATTGCCAAAACTTGGAAGAAACCAAGTTATTCTAAAGTAGGTACATAGATAAATAAACGGTAGTATATCCAGACAATGGAGTATTATTAGGACTAAAAAGAAATGAGTTACCAAGTCGTAGAGAGACATGGAGTAATGTAAATATATATTATAAATGAAAGAAGCCAATCTGAAAAAGCTACATACTGTATGATTCCAACTATATGAACATTCTAGAAAAGACAAACCTGTGGAGACAATAAAAAGATCAGTAGTTGCCAAGGGTTGTGGTGGAAAAGGGTGATTCGGCATAGCACAAAGGATTCTTTCGGCATTAGGCTACCATAATGGTGGATACATATCATTATACATTTGTCCAAGCCCACAGGATGTACAACACCAAGAGTGAACCACAATGTAAACTATGGACTGCAAGTGAATATGATGTTAGTACAGGTCCGTCAGTGGAACAAATGTAATGCTCTGGTGGGGGAATTTTCTTAAAGCCTACAGGCTATTAAAAGGAGATGAGGGAGGGTTTTGAGTATGACCTGGTCATGAAATTCCTAAGTTAAACTGGGAGAGAGACACTTGTGACAATTATTATATTTCTCCCTCCGAGAATTCTGACTGGCCTCAGTGATGCTGATATGACAAGGTAGCTGACCTGGAAATCTCTGGGCTCTAAGATTAAGTCAAAGACTCAATGTACAGGTTGGCCCTATTCCAAATTCTTGGTGAATACAGTTAGATATTGGCATTAAAAACAAAAATAAAGTCCCGTAGGATTTAACAAACCACATGACCACTAAACATTGTATGCTGTCTTTCTTTCTAGGATTTTGAACTCATCTTCATCATTCATATGCAGAAACCAGTGGTAAAATCCTTGGAATTACAATGAGACATATCAGAAGCATTCACATATTTTATAGTATTATTATGTCAGTGCATGGATGGGCCTCAAAACTGCCAGAAGAAAGGGAACTGACCACCAACTGCTCCAACTTGTCTCTACAACAGGTTCCCACAGACTTGATCACAACCACAACCACGCTGGATTTATCCTACAACCTCCTTTTTCAACTCCAGAGTTCAGATTTTCGTTCTGTCTCTAAACTGAAAGTTTTGATTCTGTGCCATAACAGAATTCAAGAACTGGATATCAAGATCTTTGAATTCAACAAGGACTTAAGATATTTAGATTTGTCTCACAACAGACTAAGGATTGTAACTTGGTATTCACTGGTAGGTCTCAGACATTTAGATCTTTCTTTCAATGACTTTGATACTTTGCCTATCTGTGAGGAGACTGGCAACATGTCACACCTGGAAATCCTAGGCCTGAGTGGGGCAAGAATACAAAAATCTGATTTCCAGAAAATTTCTCATTTGCATCTAAATACTTTCTTCTTAGGATTGAGAACTCTTTCCCATTATGAAGAAGGTAGTCTGCCCATCTTAAACACGACAAAGCTTCACATTGTTTTACCAATGAACACAAATTTCTGGGTTCTTTTGTGTGATGGAATCAAGACTTCAAAAATATTAGAAATGACAAATATAGATGGCAAAAGCCAATTTGCAAGTTATGAAACTCAACAAAACCTTACTTTAGTGAATTCTAAGACATCTATGCTGTTACTTAATAAAGTTGATGTACTCTGGGATGACCTTCTCCTCATCTTCCAATTTGTTTGGCATACATCAGTAGAATACTTCCAAATCCAACATGTGACTTTTGGAGGTAAGGTTTATCTTGACCACAAGTCATTTGATTACTCAAATACTGTGATGAGAACTATAAAATTGGAGCATGTACATTTTAGAATTTTTTATATTCCACAAGAGAGAGTCTACTTGCTTTTTACCAAAATGGATATAGAAAACCTGACAATATCAGATGCACAAATGCCACACATGCTGTTCCCTATTTATCCTACAAGATTCCAGTATTTAAATTTTGCTAATAATATCTTAACAGATGACCTGTTTAAAAACCCTATCCAGTTGCCTCATTTGGAAACTCTCATTCTGAAAGGCAATAAATTGGAGACATTTTCCTTAGTGAGTTGCTTTGCTAACAACACATCCTTGAAACACTTAGATCTGAGCCAAAATCTGCTACAACACGAATATGATGAAAATTGCTTTTGGCCAGAAACATTGATCTCTATGAACCTATCATCCAATAAATTTGCTGATTCTGTTTTCAGGTGCTTACCCAGAAGTATTCAAATACTTGACCTGAATAATAACAAAATTCAAACTATCCCAAAAGAGATAATTCATCTGAAGTCCTTGCAAGAGCTAAATCTTGCATTTAATTTTCTAACTGATCTTCCTGGATGCAATAATTTCAGAGGACTCTCAGTTCTGAACATTGAAATGAATTTAATTGTTAGCCCATCTCTGGATTTTTTTCAGAGTTGCCAGAAAATTAAGACTCTAAATGCAGGAAGAAATCCATTCCGGTGTACTTGTGAATTAAGAGATTTCATTCAGCTTGAAAAATATTCACAGGGCATGATGGTTGGTTGGTCAGATTCATACATCTGTGAATACCCTTTGAATCTAAAGGGGACCCGGTTAAAGGATGTTCATCTTCCTGAATTATCCTGCAACACAGCTCTTTTGATTATCACCATTGTGGTTATCATGCTAGTTCTAGGAATAACTGTGGCATTCTGTTGCCATCACTTTGATCTGCTCAGGTATCTCAGGATGCTAGGTCAATGGATGTGGATGTGGCACAGGGTTAGGAAAACAACCCAAAGACAACTCAAGAGAAATGTCCAACTCCAAGTGTTTATTTCATATAGTGAACACGATTCTGCCTGGGTGAAGCATGAATTGATCCCAAATCTAGAGAAAGAAGATAGTTTTGTCTTGATTTGCCTTCATGAGGAAAACTTTGACCCTGGCAAGAATGTTACTGAAAATATCATAAACTACATTGAGAAAAGCCAGAAGTGCATTTTTGTTTTGTCTCCCAACTTTCTCCAGAGTGAGTGGTGCCATTATGAACTTTACTTTGCCCATCACAATCTCCTCCATGAAAGTTCTGATCACTTAATTCTCATCTTATTGGAACCTATTCCACTCTACTGCATTCCTTCCAGGTATCCTATGCTGAAAGCTCTCATGGAAAAGAAAGCTTACTTGGAATGGCCCAAGAATAGGCATAAATGTGAACTTTTTTGGGAAAATCTGCAAGCTGCTATTAATGTTAATTCATTAGAAACCAGAGAGATGTGTGAACTACAAACATTCACAGAGCTGAATGAAGAGCCCCAAGGTTCTACAATCTCTCTGGTAAGAACAGACTGCCTATAAAACCTTCCCACAACCTAGGGAAATTGGGGCCTATATTCACAGTTGGTATATAAGTTGATTTAACCTTTCTGATGGTAATTTGGCAATATCTATTAAAATGAAACATCATTCATGTCAGTTCTTTGAAGGATTTCTAAGAATGTGTTTTACAGAAACACATTTGCAAAGGTTTATTGTAAAAAGGCGTTCATCCAGCATTGTTTATAATCATGAAAAACTGAAAACAGCTCAAATGTTATAAAACAAGGATTGACTCAATAAATTATATTAATGCAATAAAATATTACACAGCCATTAAAAATAATGAGGTAACCCTATATTTACTGGTATGGAGAAAATTAAAGTAAGTTAGATTATACGCTGAAGTAAAATTGTAAAGGAATGTATACCAGTACATTGATGGAGTAACAGTGGTTTGGGTCTGAGAGGTTGGATTGTAGGAAGTATTTGGTTTCTATATTATGAATTTCTGTAATGTTGGAGTTGCTTAGATTGAATCTGTATTTCTTTTGTAAGTAGGAAAAATAATAAAGAGAATTTTTAAAACCTACACATCCTACTCACTTTGCTTGATTCTTCCCCTCTAGTCCTATAGGTCACAGGAAGGAGACTAGCTTTCCTGAATTTTTCAGAATTATATTTAAAAAACATATGACTTCCTGATATGAAAAATGTCTGTGGTTGACTCACAAAATAGAGGAAGAAAATGCCATGTTCCTTTAAGATCTAATAACAATCTACTCTTACCTCCTTGCATCCAATCACTGAGACCAACCAAGTATTGGTTCTTTGCCAGAACATTTGGTCTTCTTTCATGACCCCACATCCTAGAATTTGGTATCATGACTTCTGTAATATCTTTCCACCTTGGGCCATTCAGGAAATCTTACACATATCCTTCAAAGCACAATCCAAATGCCAACCTTTCTTTGAAAGCTTCCTCTAAGCATGATGCTCCTTGATTCTCCATAACACTTTGGGCATATTTCTGTCACCAAACTGATGATACATGTTTGTAAAGTTTCTATTTATTACCAGACTACGAACTCCTCAAAGGCCAAGGCAGACTTCCCTCTCCTCTTGCATCACCTGGAGTTTGCTGAGACCCTGGTTCAAAGGAGGTATTCAATGAATGCTCATGGAGTGAATGTTGGGTCAGCCAGAGGAACTTGGCAGTGACTCCATAGGCTTCCAGACAGACAGTGGAATTTGAAAGCAAATTCTGAGAAGCTGGAGAGGAATGGCAGAAACAGGTTCAAGTAAGGTGAGACAGAGAACCTAGAATTGAAGGATTCCTGAGTAAAGTTTGAATCATGTGAAATTGCCAATATTTGGTTGCTCCTGACCTACAAAAACATCTGTTTCAACTCATTCAATCTAATCTAAAAACTAATCTCCTAAGCAGGGTAAAATGGACCTCTACATCAACTTAATTTCCTTATAGTTTGTGGTTTTATGAATTCCTCATGCTATACTCATCTGAAAATTTGTACTCAGGATGGCCAGCCTGAGAGTATAGGGAGAGGGCTGGGTGTCAGTCTAGAAGCCAGGCTGTGCTACTATTTGGTCAGTGGCCAGTCTACTCTGAGGAGCTAGAGTTAAGCAGCCCTGAGGTTGTGTATCTCCTTCCGCCCTGGTGAGCGCACGGTCTGGTGTAAGGGGAAACCCAAGCAAACCCCAGAGGAGTGAGGACAGAGAATGAATAGAATGCCTTTCCTCCCAGGCTCTCAGCAGCTGGGCGGCAGACATTAGTGTGATTCATGGCCTCTAGAAGAGTCAAGATACTGTACGAGGATTTCATAAATCTTGAGTAAATGACTCAGTATGAGACTCTCATCTTTAAAGATTAACTGGGAACATGCAAAGTAGGAAACATCAGTGCTAAAATCACCAGGACTGTCTTATTCCATGGTAGAATCATCAGTTTAGTGATACACTACTTAAAATAGGTATATCTTAATCACGATTTTAAAGATAAGATGTTCAGTTTGGCTCTTTCTTGTTTCAGCAGCTGGACTACCCTCAAACCTAACGAATCAGACCAGCATACTGTTCCTTTCCAGATACATAGACACTACCCAAAACTTCCTAATAGGCTTGTTTGTGACTACTATGGCTCATAATAAAAGAAAATAAATTTTACAAGTGTTTAACGTTGGGTCTTAAGATACAAGTAGCATCTAGCCTCATGCAAATTCAATGATATAGTGTTTCCCCTGTCTTGCCAATGGGTTTCAACCCTGGGCAAGTTTGCTATGGATTCAGTGTGGCCAAAGAAATTGACAGCAAAATGTTCTTGGGGTGAAAGGGTTATACCCAACTTTATTTCCAGGTGGTAGGTCAGTCACTAGAATCTCATTCACTCAGAGCGAGTCTGTATGCAGCAAGCCAGTCTCTGCTTCTGGGCCCCTCTGTCCACACAGCTGTCTTCTGGGCTTCTCTGCACAGCTGTCCCACACAGCCGTCCTCTGGGCTTCTCTGCACAGTCATCCTGCACAGCCATCCTCTGGGCTCTGTCCTCAGTGCTGTCACCACTCCAGCCTCTGCTCTGCTCTCCTGCAGCTTTGCAGCCCTGCCACTGTGTTGCGCCCAGAACACTGGGCAGAGCTCTTTTTATAGAGTCAACAGCCATGTATTGTCCATAGGTGTGCAGTGAGCTAGTCAACCACAGCCAGGTGAGAATCCTGGCCACAGGAACTCTTATATTATCCACCTTCCCGCAAATTTCAGATTTCAACAAATGACCCACTCTCCTAGAACATGATATTGATGGGAAGGGAGCATACAGAGACTGCATGCTCTAACAGAACCCAAAGTAACAACTCTGAAAATGTTTTGGAAATGACTTCAGATTTTGTGAATTTACAAATTCCCTTTTACTTCCTGCCATTTGTCAACCTGGAGTTTCTTCCATTTTTTTCCAAGGAGACTGAGCTCTGTATCAACATGATTGAAGTCTGTCTGTGCTTTCATTAGGGGGCCTCCATGATCATGATACACCTCTGCAGATAAGTTGAAATATTTTCTAGATGTCAACAGTCCAGTGTAGACAATGGTCTGTATTCTCTAACATGGCAAAGAGAGCCATACTAAAATAAGAGCATAATCCTCGAATCCCAAGTGTTTTGGAGGGAAAAGGAAAGAGTTTGGAATCTCAGTTATGGCAAATGTTCCCAAAGGTTCGACTCCTTTATGTATTATGAAGAGCCATTCAAGAAAAGCATACACTAGGAATATTTAAACTGAGTAAGAATTTAGAGCTTATTGAGAATTACTCTCACCTGTATATGGGAAAATTGAGGCTTCTGAATTTTAAATAACTCATCCAACATTCCCTCGACTAATGGCTTTTCCTTCCAATCCACAAGGCAGCTTTCACTTTTTGTATTTGATTTTATCATCTCGATCCTTTCATTTCCACTCTCAAGATCAGAGCCTTGGATGGGGCCCTTTGATAACCTGCCTATATTGCCCATAATTATTTGAGATCTAGACTCCATAGTCTCTCCCCACTGCCTCAGACCCGGGCCTCCCTTATCAACCCCAACACTTTAGAGGACCTTTCTTGAATTTCAGAGTTATTGGAAGGCAGTGCGGACAGATGATGCAGCTCTGTGAGTAATAATGGAACCAGCACCACAGACATGGTGTTAGGGAGCTGCAGAGGCAAGCTGTTAAATGTAAACAGGTTCTGAAGAGCCATGTCCTTGTGATTAATTACAGCACTTCTACTGTTTTCTCTTGGAGGGAGATATGAAATATAAATCAGGAAGAGTGCATTGGACAATAAAATGCCTAAAGAGATAGTTCCTGGATTTGAACAGGAGTAGATGATGCTTGGACCACACAAAGATCTTTCAAAGAACCAACTACATGAGTAACTATTCTGTACCTACCTTCATTAATAAGTCACTATGTCTCCCATGGGTCCATAAATTTCAAGACATTTAAAAATAATATTATTTTTGGCTTTGTATCAATGATACTTGAATAAAAAACAAATAAAGTTATTTCTATAGATGGGAGCCCTGCACTGCAAAAACTTTTCCCTATGTGTGTCTTGCCCACCCTAGAGGCAGCTCTGAGAAGAGAATAATATCCTGGCTAAAGAAGCCAGAACATATACTGCTTCTTATTTTTTGTATGTACAACTGATTTCAGTTTTAGAGTAAGTCGTTGGCAGCAGGACAGTTTTTGTTTTGAATGCTAATGGATTAAGTGGTGAAATTCAGTGGTAAGACTGGTGGAGCTGACAGATTGGAAAAGACAAATTCTAGTACCACAATATCAAGATTATTGGAAGTTCTTCGTATGGTTTTTATTAAAAAATTGAAACGAGGCATTCCTTATTTCACATCATGATGGCTGAAAGCACCACATGATTAAGTGCTGTTCTCCCCCTGGAAGAAGTTAGGTTTTTAGTTGTGCTGGAAGCTTCTAAATTTCAGGACCTGAAGGGCTTAACTTCCTGGCAGCAGTGCCTTTGGCCTTGGGGAAAAACAGGCCAGAGAAAGATGCTGAAAGAAGCCGCAGCAGGTCAGTCAGCTCTAATCGGCTGTGAGGACCAGTGTCTTCTGATTCCTGGGCCCGCTAGCCCTGCAGTCCAGAGGCCCATGAGCCTTCAGCTGCCTCTTGGTTCTTTTGCTCTGGAAAACAGTTGAATCAGTCTCCATGGAGCTGCTTTGAGTATCCTGGCCTTGAGTGCAATACTGACTACTGACCCTTCTTGAGGATACCACTCTTCTAAGGCTGTCATGAGTTGCACTTGTTAATTGTCTAATTGTCTAAACCTATAAGCTAAAATTTATCATTATTCTCATGTAACAGATAAAGTACTCAAGGTACCAAAAAGTCCAGGTGTCATGGCTAATAAATGACAGAAACTGGAGGCAGTCTGACTATAGAGCCTGTTTGCATATCTACTCTGCTACTCCAGAATTTGGTAACTAACTAGTGGTTTCTTTCATACTTATATTCACCATGGAAATTGTTGTTCCTGCTAGCCCTGTTTTTGGATGGAAGTATCTTGTTGCTTCAGAGCAATTCTCATCATTTAGTGACTAACCCAAATGCTGCCAGTTCTCGCTGGCCTGTGGCACATCAACAACAATGACCCCAAATTCTTATTCTTGCCCCCACCTACTAACCAAGACTTCTCACTCTCCTGCAAAGGTCCCCATGAGTATTTCTATGAGATCCCAAGAAGCCTCGCCTGTGCCCACACACCACACTGTTTACACTCACCATTTGCTGTAATACAGTCCACTCCACTCTAGCTAACTCAGGTGACTAGACCTGGGGCCTTTCAAAGTCCTTGCACTATTGACATTGCCAAATGAAGATGCCTCCTAGATCATGTGAATGTCCATGCTGAGGATGCTTTCTCCCAATAATCACAAGTCACTTATCCTTGAGGTGAGGAGCCATGTGAGTCCCACATAGTGGTAGGATCAGTGTTCTGAAGCTGTAATGCTGGGATCCAGAGTCTCAGAGTCAATATGCTCAACACCATGAATCCTCCAGGAAATGCAAATCAAAACCACA